CTGATATGGATCCTTTCGCGGCTGCTAGCACCGTGGACTGGCACACCATCCGCTCCTTAGGGTGACGATATGCCGAGTCCTCGAAGTCTAGGTCCTCCGCGCATCTCTGCTCTTTCACCCCCGGACTCCTCGGCATACCCGTGCGCATTACCCTCGCCCCTCTGCCGAGCTGCCTCTCGTCGCGTCCCTGGCCTCGCCATGAGCTGGAAGGAGACCTGACTACCCGTTTCCTCGTCATCTTCTGCTCCCATGTAGAATGCCTCAGCGGGTTTCTCTTCCTCCCCCAGCTATTGCAATTGTACTCGCAGCTTCCGCATCTCTTCTTCAATTTCACCCCTAGTCTTGCTCCTTCCCTTGGGTGGCTTCTTCGAGTAGCAGTTCGCCTCTTTGTGTCCCTTCTTCCCGCAGTGCTTGCACGTTGGGGACCGGGGGCCTTCCCGCCGCAGATGTCCCATCTCCCCGCAGGTGTCACATCGTGGCGCCTGGCTGTAGTCGCGTTGAATATGTCATGGCTGACCGCACCGATGGCATTTCCTCCAATCCGTGATCCCGTTTCCTCCCGACGAGCCTGCTCCGGGACCATGTTGGCCATCCAGACTCCTCGCCGCCGCTCTCGTCCCCTCGTTTCCGCTCTCTCCAGCTCATACAGCTTAAGCCCCGTCTCGTATCTGCACGCCACTTCGTAGACCTGCTGAAGTGAAGTGTCCCGTCCCATCTCAAATACCTTGCTCCACAACTCTTTTACCATGCTCTGATCCAAGCCGCCCAAGAACTTTCCGATGAGACGGCGCTCGTCAGTGCATTCCATGTCCAACGCAAGCTCTCGCAGCCGCCCGTAATATCGAAGCAGGGATTCTTCCCCCTTCCGTTCGAAAAACGCGAACTCACGTATTTTCTCCGGGGTCTGCACCGGGAACTGCCGCTTCAGATTCTCCAGGAACTCCTCGACGATTCCCCAGCCATCACCTCTCATGTAGCTGTACTTGCGCAGCAGTTCCGTCTTCGTGATGCGATAATATGTTTCCGCCTCTCCCGATAGGGTGTTCGAGAGCCCGCGAAAGAATTCCTCCGCTTCAAGACCGTCTCGTGTCCAGCGGTAGCGCACGTTATCGATCTGCATGAGATAGTTACGGAGGTCCGCCCCCACACCTGGCTGCCCTGTGAACCTCTCTGGTACTTTAATCTCTGGGAGATTCGTGTAGCGCCAGCGCTCGTTCGCTGGCGTCGGCGCCTCCCGCCTTCGGTCCCTGTCGACCTCGTGTTTCGCATGGTGACTCTTCGGAGCTCATCTTCCTCCGTCCACCTTCTGCGCTCGACTGAGCCCCGTCCACTGCAGGCGCCGGTTCTCCCCTTCGCCTTGCTGCCTTCGCGACTCCTCGGACTGCGAACTCAGCAAATCTCCCTGGCTATGCCGACGAGGCGGCGGACGGTATACGTCGCTGCGACCGGTCCCCGTTCCGATCGAGTCTCTCCCTACTTCTGGCGCGCTCAGTGCTTCTCCCTGCGGCTCTTCCTACGCACCGCCCGTGTCCATGGCCTTATTGTTGGCACCGATCGCGAGGGCTATCCGACCGCAGGAATCTCAGCCGCCCATCCTGTTTGTTTGTCGAAAAATCCCAGATCTACGACATGCTCCTCTCACTCTGGCTAGCTCTACTAGGAAGATAGCACACGCAATCCAGTATACGAGAAAACAAACAAACAGGCAAGGAGTTCAGGCTAAGCTAGCTCCTATGTACATTGTAAATCTTGGCTAGCTACTGGACTTCTTACTGAGGCGAGGGTGAGGCAGAACCTGCACACACCGTACACCAACGTCATGTGTACATAGCAATCAAACCACACATCATCCGACATGCATATCATCTCAACCGCGCAATCAGCCCACCTATGTACAAGCACAATCTCCACCGTCCGTGCGGCCTGCCTCGCACTAACCCTTGCCAACCCTCCCACGGTCACTTCTGCTTCATGTGAAACCCCATCCTAGCTGCCATCACTGTACACGCGGGGCGTCTGCATTTCTCCCCCACCAGGATACTCCCCCTCCTGTTGTATTTCTCCAACTGTCACCCTCGAAAGTCCATCGCGGCCTCATTATACACTGCGCCGATACTCTGCCTTGTACTGTATACGCCTACACTCCGTGTCATTCGTAACAGAAGCTCATTTCCTTCTTGTTGCGTGTGACAGATGAAAAATGTAATGGGATGCGGCAGAGTCCAGCATGAAGGAGAGGGGCGTATCAGAAGTCCACCTGGTCAGGAAACAACAAAGGATCCTACACTAGAAACAACTAAAGAACCTATACACTAGTAATAAGTTTTTGCAACATTAGAGTCATAAACATACAGGGAATACGAGGCAGATCTTAACGGATACATGTCAAGACAAAATATATCCAAACCCCTGCGTAACTGTGCAGTCCAGTCTGCGACGGACGCTGGATGCCTAAAAAGGGCATGGAGGAGATCGTCAAGTTGGCGGAAGCAGCTCGTAGTGGAGTGATCGGTGCCCCCGCAGATGGTGCCATATAGAGGACTAATAGGATTTGATACTGGCACGCCATCGCGGCCAGTTATCAGACCCGCCATCGCGTCCAGCGCTCACGGGCCAGTAGGTCCCCACTACCGCTAAGAACTCACTACTGGATTTCATGCTGATGCGGAGTCACCGCCACAACTCCAGTATAGCACCTCCTTGCGGCAGTACCCCCAAGACCAGCACTCCTTGCGTCAGCACCCCCTGACGTACCAGCAACTCCACCTCCTCTACAATTACGACCTTCCTGCGCCGTCCTCACCCACCATTGGGGGCAGCCCTCGCCGCGACTTCTGCTTTAGCAGTAGGCTCAACATTAGCAGTAGAGGCGGGTGAGGTTGGCAGGTGAGGCGGAGCGCACCCCTCAAAGAGAGGGGGGAATTAATGTCCTACTGGTGGAGGCGATCGTGCGAAGAAGGGTCTCGATTGCAGCGAGATTAGCCTCAAAGAGAATGGCAGTGAGACACATAAGGTGCATGGCGAGGAGAGCGTTGTGGGCACGCGCGATGCTGTCAGGGAGGCGGGTCGCGAGGAGGTGCAGTGAGATACATGGGGGGAGGGGGAGGGGGTGTGCTCAACAAGGTCGTCAATAGTGCAAACAGCGCAGAAGCTAGCGTCAAGCGAACGCAGGTGGGTAATGAGGTCAGTGATAATGGAGAACGCAGGGAGATCAAGGAAAGGAAAGGAAGAATGAGGCACCCTAGAGTAATAGAAGAAGGGAGGAGCATCGAGCAATAATAGCATTCAAACACTCCTTCGTCGTCACAACCTTGCGAAAGTGCACCCGCTCGGTCGGCGGGAGGAGGAGACCAAGAGCAAGGCACGCAGCAACTTCACGTGACTCCCAAACCATGTATGAAAGTCGAGCCACGCCTGTCACTCCTCCGTCGAGGCCTTAGCACCAGGAGTAGGGATACGCTGAGGGCAGGTAGCTCATCTGACATGTAGGCGTATTGGGCTCGTCACCCTGGGGCTGGCTTCACAGGTGGAGCGTGACATCGAGCAGCCATGCGTTAAAAGTGAACCGCCTAACCCTCTGTATCCAGTCGCAGCACGAACTCGGACGTCATGGCTTGAGTGAGCAGGGGCACAGCTGTAGCAAATGAGAAAGGACAGCCACACGCAGAGGAGGAGAAAGTTAGGGGCAGGTCGCAGGATGCGCAGGGACGTCGAGCAATAGTAGGCAGGACTGCAGCAGGCACAGCGACAGGCACGGTAGGTGTGGGCACAGGCACAGGCAAGGGCACAGGGCGGCAGGCCATGGCATGGCTGCAGCAGGCGCGGGCGCAGGTGCGGGCGCGAGCAGTGCACGGCAGGTGCAAACGGCGGCAGACGCGGGCGTGGTGGTCGCAGCAGGTGCGGCAGGCGTCGGCACGGCAGGCGCATGCGCAACAGGCACGGTGCGACGTCAGACGCGGCTGCGACAAACACGGTAGGTGGGTGCGGCGGTGGCGCGGGCGCGGGCGATGGCAGGCATGGGCGCAACAGGCGTGGACGCGGTAAACGCAGTAGGTGCGGCAGGCACGAGCGTGACAGGCATGGGCGCGGTGGCAGGTGCGGGCGCAGCAGTAGGCGTGGGCATGGCCGGTGCGGACGGGGAGTGGCAGGGCGTGATGCGGGCGTAGGCGCGGATGACGTGGTAGGGTGCACAGGCATGCGGCAGGGCACACATCTGGCTCGTGGCAGAGCGCGTGACATGCGTGAATAACTGGCGCAGGCGCTGCGGTGGCTGGTGTGAGTGCAACAACGGCGGCGTTACGATGGGGCGCAACGGTGAGTCATTATTAGGGCGCGCGAGGCGCAACGGGGGCATGGCTAGGACGCGGTGGAGGCGACCGTAGGGCTCGAGAGGGCGCTAGGGGGAGGGGGGGGGGGGGGGGGGGGGGGGGGGGGGGGGGGGGGGGGGGGGGGGGGTGGGGGGGGGCGCTTGAGGGGGGCCGCTAGAGGTGGCCGCGAGGGGACGAGGCAGCCAGGGAGGTAGGCAATGCAGAAGCGAGAACCTAACCTAAACCGATACTATTATAAGAGCTGAAAGAATGACTAGATGAGGCGCACATTATAAGAGGGTACATGTAAGAACTTATATCCTGTATAGTACAACCTAACCTAGCCCTATAGTTTACGCATACAAATGTGTTTGCTTATGTTGACAGTATACGACACTACCCATGATAGGTACCGTAGTCTTGATTCTCTCGTACCCCCTGCAATATTATGCATGGACCTTGTTTTAAAGTGCACTCGGGGTCTTATTCGCTATGATGGGCATACCAATACTTCTCATAACGAAGACGAGCCTGCATGTCAAGCGCGGCAGTTTCAAAGCCCCCGATCTTCTCGAAACTTGATTTTCCTGTGCCGCTGGCAACCGCCAGCAGGATGCTCAACTGATTTGTTCTTTTAGTGCTCCCTATCGCCTCGTTGGTCTATCGCAGCGCTACTCGCCAATCCTGTGCGACATGGACGACGACGGCGGAATGTCGCTCTTCGAGGGGATGGACTTCGTCGATCCCTCCACGCTCCTCTCCCCACCCCGCGCCGTCAATGCCGCAAGCACCCAGTCATTCGTGTCTCCTGACTCCTCCCCCGCCGCTCCTCCCACCGACGCGCAGCACCAAGAGCTTTCCTCAGCAGGCGATCTCGCCAAGCCGGGCTCTTCCTCTCAATCCCCGATACAAGCCTCCTCATTCGCTTCGTTAAAGGCGTCTGAAGCTCCGGACAGCACAGACGAAGCGAGAAAGTCCGCACCGCTGGACGCTTCGCTGTTCACTTCGGAACCCGCAGCCACACTAGCAGACACGTCACCAGCCACGTCAGCAGTCTCTGCAGCAGCCATTGCGGAATCAGCGACGGGTACCTCGTCACTGCTGTCTCACGCGGCCGCCTTGGCAGCCCTCTCGCCTTCTGTTGCCGTCCTCTCGCCGTCCCTGCTTCCTGTAACGGCCACGGCCGGCAGCGGCGGGTCGCCCATTACCGGCTCACCCAGCGCCAGCGTGGCAGGCTCGGCGGCCTCCTCAGGCGGCGTGTTGGCCAGTTCCGTTGCCAAGCCTGTCGGCCTGGTTCGGAAAAAGAAGCGGAGCATCAGGATCGGGTACGAGCGGGAATCTGCGGAGGAGTCAACAGGTTCGGCAGGGGTAGTGGCGGCGAGATCGGCGGACTCGAGTGGCAGTAGTGGCGCAGCGGGTTTGGCAAGTTCGCGGAGCAGCCAATCAGAGACTGAGATTGTTTCCGCCGACGGAGGGGAAGGCGGGGCAGGGCGAGCGGGCAGGGGGAGTGTTGCGGAAGAGCAGGGGGAGGAGGGGGGCGATGGAGTGTTGCAGCAAGGAGTGGCGGGGAAAGAAACGGCGAGTGGTGACGGTGGAGATGGGTGTGGCACCGCTGGTGCGGGTGGCAAGGGAGCCAAGGGTATAGATGATACTCGTGGCTCTGATGCTGCTGCTGCTGACGACAGCAAAGCAGGCAGTGACGTGATGACAGATGAGACGAAGAGTGGTGTGATTAACGCGCCCTCAGCAGCCAACGGGATTGCAGAAGGAATTGAGGTGGATGAGACGAAGACGGTCGCGGAGGAAGCAGCAGAAACGGCTGACGTGGCAGGAAGTGAAGTAGTGGGGCCTCAGGAGGGAGAACATAAAGTTGCTGACCTGTCGCCTCCTCCAGCCGTGTCAGCCGCCCCTGTTGATGCAGCCACGTCAGGCCCGGACGAGGCAGGAAGGGACGGAATGGAGACAACAGGGGCAGACAGGGAAGAAGGGACAGCACAGACAGAAGAGGCACAAGGGAAGGAGGCGGGAACAGACGAGACAGCAGGAGCCATGGCGACAGGGCGGGACGACACAGGGGGTGCGGAGGGTGGGGATGGAGAGAACGATGGGGAGGCAGAAGCTGGTCTCGGGGGAGAGCTAGAGCAACAAGTAAAGCGCCTCCTTGCTGACGTGGCAGCTAATCTGACCGCTGTGCAGGCCAAGATCCGCGATGCCACATCAGCACGAAAATGGGCGGTCCAGATGCGCCGGCAGGCAGCCCAGCGGGCGGCAGCGGCAGCGAAGCGATTGGAGGAGATTGAAGCTGAGCTGGCAGCGGCATGCGAGGCGGAGGAGTTTGAGCTAGCGGACGAGCTGAGCCAGCGGGCGGAGCGGGCGGCGGGCGAGGTGAAGGACTGGGGCGGCGAGGTGGCGCAGGCGGAGGAGCAGGTGGCGCGGTGCAGCGCTGACGTGCTGCGGCTGACCACTGAGGAGGCGGAGATTGAGGTCCGCGCTGCTGAGGCCCTCCGCCGGATTCACAGGGTGAGTGGCGGGATGGTGAGTGGCGGGATGGTGAGTGGCGGGATGGTGAGTGGCGGGATGGTGAGTGGCGGGATGGTGAGTGGCGGGATGGTGAGTGGCGGGATGGTGAGTGGCGGGATGGTGAGTGGCGGGATGGTGAGTGGCGGGATGGTGAGTGGCGGGATGGTGAGTGGCGGGATGGTGAGTGGCGGGATGGTGAGTGGCGGGATGGTGAGTGGCGGGATGGTGAGTGGCGGGATGGTGAGTGGGGGGATGGTGAGTGGCGGGATGGTGAGTGGCGGGATGGTGAGTGGCGGGATGGTGAGTGGCGGGATGGTGAGTGGCTGGATGGTGAGTGGCGGGATGGTGAGTGGCGGGATGGTGAGTGGCGGGATGGTGAGTGGCGGGATGGTGAGTGGCGGGATGGTGAGTGGCGGGATGGTGAGTGGCGGGATGGTGAGTGGCGGGATGTTGAGTGGGTGAGGAATGGTGAATGCGTTTTTTTTTTAAGAGTGGGGAGGGGATGGTGAGTGAAGACGCAGGTTGGCAGATGTTGGCCAAGGCTAGCACAGAGGCCACACATAGGCCTTTCGAACGCGTATGTAGTATTGCACCCAGTTAAAACAAACAATGAATACACTGAATGTTTATTTATTTTGTGACGACTCGTCCAGCAACTAATAGCAACCTTATTCCCGCTTCCCAACCCCTCACCATTCCCCCCTCCCCAACCGTTCGCCTTCGCCGCACTCCCATCCCTCGCCTTCTCCCTGCCAGCAAGCGGCAGCAGCTGCCGCGGAAGCCAAGCAGGCAGCGCAGCAGCAGGGCGAGGAGGAGGAGGGGCGGGTGGCAGCAGAGGAGGCTGACGTGGACATTAAGAAGCGCAAGCTGGCAGTTGAGCGGCGCGTGCTGGACGAGGAACGCGCTGAGCTGGCAGCCAAGGTGGATGCTGCCACATCAGCGGAGCGCCAGGAGCGTGCCGAGCTGGAGAAGGGGCGTGCTGAGCTGGAAGCTGAGCTGGCAGCGCTGATGGAGCAAGTGCATGCAAAGGAGCAGGAGATAGAGCAGCAGAGCATGCTTATAGCGAAGGTGGATGGGAAGATCTCAGCCGTTGCTGGCAGGTTTGAGAAAGTGAGGGGAGGACTGGAGGAGGAGGAGAGGAAGGTGGTTGAGATGGAGGAGGAAGTGAAGGAGATGGAGAGGAAGGTAGAGGAGGGGAGGAGGAGGGTGGTGGAGGTGGTGGAGGAGGGGAGGAAGGTAGCGGAGGGGCTGGAAAGGGTGGGGAGCAGGGCGGAGGAGGAGGCTCAGAGGTTGGAGGCGGCGGTGGAGGGGAGGAGGAGGGAGGCGGAGGAGGTGAGGGCGGTGGCGCAGCGCCGGGAGGAGCTGGCGGCGGCGGAGAAAGATGCCCAGGCGGACCTGGAGGCACTCGGGCAGGCCATGGGCGAGGTGAAGACGAGGCTGCAGGTGAGGCCATGGGCGAGGTGAAGACGAGCCTGCAGGTGAGGCCATGGGCGAGGTGAAGACGAGCCTGCAGGTGCGCGGGGGGTGTGTGTAAGTGGGGGAAGGGGATGTGCAGGTGTGTGCTTGGCAGGAAGGGGTGAGGGTGTGTGAGTGGCAGGGGGGACTGGTCATGTAAATGCGTGCAAGGAAGGAGGAGGGAGCGAGCGATGCTTGATGGGATGCGGGTTTCCTGACAGCATTGCGTCAATGAGTGCATGGTGGTCCCAACAACGCCTGCATTATCATGCACATGTGCATCCCCACCATTCCCCACCCAACCCCAAACCCAACCCCAACCCCAACCCCAACCCCAAACCCAATCCCATACTCCAACCCCAACCCCAACCTTAACTCCCTTCTCATCCTCACACCCCATCCTCCAAAAATCCCCGTGCATTGCCGTAGTGTCGCAGAATGCCTCGTGGACCCTTCCTTTCTTTCACATAATCCCCAACTTTTATGCCCCCCCGCCTTCATGCCCACACCTTCATGCCCACACCTTCATGCCCACACCTTCATGCCCACACCTTCATGCCCACACCTTCATGCCCACACCTTCATGCCCACACCTTCATGCCCACACCTTCATGCCCACACCTTCATGCCCACACCTTCATGCCCACACCTTCATGCCCACACCTTCATGCCCACACCTTCATGCCCACACCTTCATGCCCACACCTTCATGCCCACACCTTCATGCCCCCACACCTTCATGCCCACACCTTCATGCCCACACCTTCATGCCCACACCTTCATGCCCACACCTTCATGCCCCCACACCTTCATGCCCACACCTTCATGCCCCCATACCTTCATGCCCACACCTTCATGCCCACACCTTCATGCCCCCACACCTTCATGCCCACACCTTCATGCCCACACCTTCATGCCCACACCTTCATGCCCACACCTTCATGCCCACACCTTCATGCCCACACCTTCATGCCCACACCTTCATGCCCCCACACCTTCATGCCCGCACACCTTCATGCCCCCACACCTTCATGCCCCCACACCTTCATGCTCACACCTTCATGCCCACACCGTCATGCCCACACCTTCATGCCCCCACACCTTCATGCCCCCACACCTTCATGCCCCCACACCTTCATGCCCACACCTTCATGCCCCCACACCTTCATTCCCCTTCTCCTCACCACTGCGTCTGCCTCCACAGGAGCTGAGTGGTGCACGGCAGAGGGCCCAGGAGGAGCTGGCGGCGGTGCACCAGCGCCTGGCAGCCGCCGCCCGCCGCATCCCCGAGCTCGACGCTCAGAAGAAGGCGGCGGCCGCCGCCCGGAACTTCAAGGAGGCCGCCCGGCTGGCCGCAGAAGCAAAGCTGTTCTCCAACGACCGGGAGGCTGCAGAGCGGCAGGTGAAGGAGTATGAGGAGGAGATTGGCAGGGTGGAGCGGGAGGAGGTGGGGAAGCAGGAGGAGGTGCGGGCGATGGAGGAGATGGTGAGGGAGCGAGAGAGAGAGGTGGGCACAGCGCGGTGTGCACGGCTGAGACTGGTGGCGGCAGTGGCGCGGCGGGAGATGGAGGCGGCGGCGGAGGGGGAGGACTGGGAGGAGGCGGAGGGGCTGCAGGGGGAGGCGGAGGCGGCTGATGGGGAAGCGGACGCGCTGCAGCTGCAGTGGGGGCTGCAGGGGGAAGAGTACGAGAGGAGGGAGTGAGGGGGTACTGGAGGGGGCCACGTTCGGGCTATGGATGGCACTAAACTACTGGTGTTGTTGTGGACGCAGCGCGTGCCATGGAGCGATGATGGAAGGTGGAAGGTTGAGGGAGTGTGAGTCAGAGGGCGTAGGCAGAGGATAACGAGCAGTGAGGGGGAAAGAGGGGGAGTAATGAACAAGGTGTAATGGGTGGGAGATCGTGAAAGGGAGGATGGAGGAGTGCATGTGAGGGACAAAAACCGTGGCGGAGTGGAGGGCAACATTCGTTTGGAGGTTCAAAGAGGCCCACAACCACAAAGGCACTTCGATGGATGACATTTTTGTCAGTAATAACGGACTGGAATGATGGACTAGCAAGGATTGTGAGTACAAATATGAAACCCTAATGTTGTGACCCCCCTATAGGCTAACCCACTACAGCCTACACAAACACAACATATATAATGTTCGACACACCCCCATAGGCAAAGTGGGGGAGACCTAGGGGTCACAAGACCAGTCAAGGCAAAGCAAGGCAACAACAAGCTCAGGGTGGATCTCAAGGATTCCACACAAATTCCGAGCACAAGCTAGTGGTCACAAGACCAGTTCACATGCAAGTTTATAACAGAGCAAGAGATACAGTGATCACAACCTAGCAAGAGTAAACATGCAGGTATAGATATATATAGTGATCACAGTACAAGCAAAGTCAAGAGGTAAGCAAGTGAGGTCCAGTAGGCACAAGGCCTAGTAGAGTGCAGAAGCGCTGATGGTCACGAGGCTGAAGCGCCTTGGTGAACACATCAGCAGTGTTGGCCTCAGTGGCCACGTAGCGAATACAAAGCTGACCGCGCTGCTGCAGCTCACGAGCAAGGAAGTACCGCAGGGCGATGTGCTTCGTTCTGTGCTCCAGTCTGTGCTCCTCACACAAGGCAATGGCAGCCTTGTTGTCGACGTACAGTACTGGAGGAGAACGAGGCCGCTCTCCGAGGTCGGTCAGCAGGTAGGTCAGCCAGCGTAGCTCCTGGGCAGCCATGGCTGTAGCGTAGATCTCAGCCTCGCAACTGGAGCTGAGAACAGAAGAAGAGCGTGTAGAGCGCCAAGAAACTGAGCCAGAGCCAAGGCTGAAGGTGTAACCCTGAGACGACCGCTGAGTGGCCTGGTCGTCTGCCCAAGAAGCGTCTGAGTGCCCTGTGAGAACAACTCGGTCTCGCCCTCCAAGCACAAGCCCCATGCCCGACGTACTGCACAAGTAGCGCAACACCCTCTTAGCGGCATCCATGTGCTCCTTCCTGTGACGGCCAGGAGCGACATAGCGTGCAAGGATGCTAAGAGGGTATGCAAGGTCAGGTCGAGTGCAGGTCATCAGGTACATGAGGCAGCCCACAAGCTCTGGATACGGGCCACTCGGCTCTACGGACTCATCCGAAGGCAGAGCTGAGAGCGAGTGACCGGTAGGCAGAGGAGTGGACTGAGGCGAGGAGTACGTGAAGCGGAAGCGCTGGAGAACCTGCTGCACCATGTGTGACTGAGTCAGGGTGATGGTGCGCCGTGCTCTGTCCCGGGTGATCCGCAAGCCAAGATAGCTTGTCAGCTCACCCAGGTCTGTGCACGTGTGTCTCCTCTGCAGCTCCGACTTCACGTAGGCGAGTCCTGCAGTGTCAGCAGTGGCAAAGACCAAGTCGTCGACGTACACGAGGATGTAGAACGGCGGCAGCGAAGTGTCGGTGCGCAGGAACAGCGACGGGTCAGCTGTAGAAGGCGCGAACCCAAGAGCCGCAAGTGTAGTCCTCAGTGTGTCGTGCCACTCACGCGGAGCCTGGCGGAGACCGTAGACTGGCCGCTGAAGCCTCTACTGGGTACCAGGAGGAAACGACCCAGTGAAGCCAGGTGGGCGGCGCAGCCAGATCTCCTTGTGCAGGCTGCCCTGCAAGAAAGCAGTGCTGAAGTCAAGTGAGTGAAGCTCGTAGTCGCGGTGAGCGGCTATGTGCAGCAGCACCCGAAGAGTGGTCATTTTCGGGGTAGGGGAGAAGGTCTGGAAGAAGTCAACTCCCTCTCGCTGACTGAAGCCTCGAGCCACGTAACGCGCCTTGAAGACAGGCGGAGAACCCGGCGGCCGCTTCACCCTGAAAATCCACATGCCACTGACGATGTTCGCCCCAGGAGGGGGAACCTCGTCGACGTAGGTGCGTGTGGACTTCCAGGAAGCCATCTCGGCGTCCATGGCTGTCTGCCACTGAGAGGAGTAGGGACCCGCCATCGCCTCAGCGTAAGTGCGCGGGGTCGGGATGTCTGGTGCATCCGGGTCTCCCTCAGGGGCAACTAGCAAGGACACGAGACGGGGCAAAGCAGCAGCAAGACACTGGAACTCCTCCTGTCTGTCCTCAAGGACGTCCGTGCCAAGAGCACACTCACCCCCGACGGACGGAGGACAGACAGACTCAGACGCAGACTCAGCAACAAGGCTAGCAGCGTAGTCTAGACGACAGGTAGCAGCAAAGTCAACCAACTCAGCGACCAGAGCAGACGCAGCTGAGGACTCAAAGGTAGGGTCAGTGACAACAGTAGCGAGGAGACGCGTGACAGTAGGGTGCTCAGCACGATACCGGTCAGACTCAGGGTCCGGAACGTCAGGCAAAGAGGACGCAGGAGGAGACGGTAGAGGGACACGCTGAGGAGCAGTAGAGGGACGCAGAGTCATGTAGTGAGTGCCTGGGACAGGAGGAGGACGCTCACGACGGACACGACTACCAGTGCGAGCAGGACGAACAGGCGACGCAGGACGAGACTCAGGCCCACGACGCTCTGTAAGACCTCCTGTGGGACCAGTGTAAGGAGAGGGAGCAGGGAGAGGCGAGGTAGGCGGTAACTGTGACTGCGGCTGGACAGGCGGGGGACACTCTACGGAGGGAGGAGGACAAGGAGGAGGAGCCTGACCAAGAACCTGCTGAAGGAGCGGTACGAAGTACGGTCGCGGCCGCGCAGCGTCTCCAGAAGCAGAGGAGACTCCAGCGGCCGGGTCCTCAGTACCAGTAGGAGCTCCAGCGTCCGGGTCCACAGCACCAGCAGCAGCTCCACCGGCCGGGTCCTCAGCACCAGTAGTAGCTCCAACGCCCGGGTCCTCAGCAGCAGCAGCAGCGCCACCGCTCGGGTCCTCAGCTCCAGCAGCAGCTCCACCGTCCGAGTCCTCAGCACCAGCAGCAGCTCCACCGTCCGGGTCCTCAGCACCAGCAGCAGCGCCACCGCCCGGGTCCTCAGCTCCAGCAGCAGCTCCAACGTCCGAGTCCTCAGCACCAGCAGCAGCTCCACCAGGCGGGTCCGCAGCACCAGCAGCAGCTCCAACGTCCGGGTCCTCAGCACCAGCAGCAGCGCCACCCCCAGGGTCCGCAGCACCAGGAGCACCACTCCGAAGACTGCAGCGGCGTGTGTACCACTCGCGGATCTGCTGAATGGGGGGGAGCTCCTGGGTAGGAGGGGAAGTACCGGGACGAGCTCCAGCAGCACCTCTCCGGAGGCGGCAGTACTCGAGGTACCTCTCCTGCAGCTGCTGGGAGGAGAGGGCTCCTCCAGGTGTAGCACGCGCAGGCTCAGCACCCCCAGACTCAGCACCCCCAGACTCAGCACCCCCAGGCTCAGTACCTCCAGGCTCCGCACCTCCAGGCTCCGCACCTCCTGGCTCAGCACCCCCAGGCTCCGCACCCCCAGACTCAGCACCCCCAGACGCAGCACCCCCAGGCTCAGCACCCCCAGACGCAGCACCCCCAGGCTCAGCACCCCTAGCAGGACGAGAGTCAACAGCTACCTCGACAGGCTCACCCGGGTCTACCTGGGACACACCTGAGGGAGCGGCACCCTGAGGGGGGAGGGGGTCTGGTACCTCAGCACCTGGAGCGAGGAAGAGAGGCGGGGGGGGGAGCGGGGCAGTGCGGTAGGGGAAGAGACGGTAGTAGGGGACGGACTCGTCAAAAGTGACGTCCTGAGAGGCCAGGACACGACGCGAGGTGGGGTGGTAGAACTGCCAGCCAGGGGTGTCCGGGACAAAGCCAAGGAAGACGCAGGGGACAGCGCGACGGGAGAGCTTGTCCGCGGACGTGTCGCGGACAAAAGCTCGGGATCCCCAGACCCGAAAACGCGACGCATCGCCAGCCTCTCCCGTCCAACGCAGTGTCGGAGAAGTCTCGGGCAAGGAGACACGGGGCCAGAGGTTGAGCTGATGCGCAGCGTATCGGACTGCAAACGGCCACAGAAAATGGGGGGCAGCCGCATGGCTCAAGGAGGTACGAGCGACCTCCATGACCAGACCAATGCGGCGCTCAGCAACCCCATTCTGCTGTGGAGAGGCCGGAAGCGTGTACGACTGCTCAATGCCCTCCTGCTGACAGAAGGCCTCCAATAGGCCAGAGGAAAACTCCCCACCTCTGTCAGAGTGCAGACGCAGGACAGGGAAGTCGGAGCGGAAACGCTCACTGAGCTGGAGACGAGATCTGCGGATCCAAGGGATCAAGACATCAGGGACGTCACCCTTGGCGCGCAAGGGGAAGACCGTGGTGTAGCGCGAGAAGTCGTCAACAACAATCAGGAAGTACCTCTCCTGACCCTGACCACGGACGCGGGCTGGGCCCCACACGTCCATGTGGAGCGTCTGCAAGGGAGCAGTCGTCGGGGGAAAGGAGGAGGAGTGAGGAGCGGCGCGCTGCCGTCCCTCGACACAGGGAATACAGGGAGGAGCAGGCGAGTCGGGAAGGGGAGGGAGCACCCTGGGAAGACCAGCAACAAGGTCCCGTTTGTGCATGGCCCGAAGGCGCTGCACAGACGGGTGACCAAGGCGGTGGTGCCAAAGGACAGTCTCATGCGCCAGAGAGCGACACGAGCAGGGGGCGGACAGCTGACCTGACGCAGACGCGGACGCAGCTACCTGAGGGGACTCAGTGGTCAGTGTGTAAAGGTCCGACCCCGGCTCCCGAGTGAAGGTAGCCAGGTGGCGACCCGTCCGAGCACACGTGCAGTGTGTCACGCGCTCGTAGGCGGGGGTGAACTGGTGAACACCCCCGTCCTGGAGCGCACTACCTGCCACCAAGTTCGTAGAGAACGAGGGGAGGTAGAGACCTGACAGCGTGCCGGACGGGACCGCCGGACAAGGAAGGACAGTGGAGGAGGTCGCAATGACCGGACCCCCAGAGGGGTCAGCAAGGGAGACAGCAACTGGCCGAGCGAGTGGCTCAAGGACAGTGCGGTCACGAAAGAAGGAGCGAGAAGCACCTGAGTCCAGTGTGAAGGTGTGCAGTGCTGCAGTCGACTCAGTACCAGGGGACACGGACGCACGAGTGTCAGAATGTTATTATTGTCTAGCCTGTAGTGGGGTGCTCTATAGCGAGTACAACCCAGTTAGGGTTTGCTATATGTACCCCAACTGCTGCTAGTGAAACCCCTCTCTCCTTTCAATCATTCTTGCCTAGTTCTGTTGACATGCTATCAGAGCAGGTCGACCCTCCTGGGTCGATCCTGTGGGTGGGCCCACCACCTAATGCTTCCGCTGCTTTACTTCCTGCCGGGCGCCTCGGGCGCGCGACGACTTCTTCCTGCCGTTTTCATCCCGCCGTGCGCTCGGGGCGCGCGGCGGTTTTCTGCACGCCGTGCGCCCCGAGGCGCGCGGCGGTTTCCCACCGTCGAAGTGCCCCCCGTCGCCCGTCGAAGCGCCCTCCCCCCGTCGCCCGTCGAAGCGCCCCCGTCGCCCGTCGGAGCGCCCCCCGTCGCCCGCCAAAACGCCCCCGTCGCCCGTCGAAGCGCCCCTGGGACCCGCGCGCGGCCCGTACGGGCTGCGCCAGGCCCGCGCGCGGCCCGTACGGGCTGCGCCAGGCCAGCGCGCGGCGCGGGCAGCCTGCGCGCGCCTCGTCCGTCCCCCTCTCGCCGTCCCCCGCGCTCCTGCCCCTATCCCACCCGTTTTAGGGTTTGGGGATGTAGAGTGTGGGGGTGGCGGGTGTGGGGGTGCCGGTTGTGTGCCCCGTCCCCTCCTTCTCCTCCTCCTCCGTCTCCCACTGCTGCAGCTGCCGCTGAGGGGGGTGGGTGTGTGGGAGCCGAGGGTTTAGGGTTTAAGGGGGGTGCCGTGGAAGTGGAGCTAGGGTGTCAGCAGGGGGTGTGTGAGAGGGGCGTGGGACGGTCGGGGGAGGTTGCGTGGAGGTAGCCGTCGTGACGCCAGCAGCGCCAGTAGTCCGGATGCCCTCGCGCGTTTCGGTAGCCCAGCGAGCCTGCTTCGCCAGTCGCCTGTGGGTCCGTTGCTCCTGTGTGTGCTCGTCGTAGCCGCGGAGCCAGATACTCCCGTAGTCCGGTGCCCTCGTGCGCTCGGTAGCCACTGTGCGCGCCGCTCCTGTTGCCCGTGTGTCTGCAGCTTCAGTCGGCGCCTTTCATCTTCTCGCCCTCACAGTTTCTCCTCCTCCTCACTTGCCCTCTATGATCACATCTAGCTTTGCTTATAATTGTGAACTATTGCTATGCCTGCTCATTGTACTGATTACACCCCACTTTGGCTATGGGGGTGTGTCAGAATGTTATTATTGTCTAGCCTGTAGTGGGGTGCTCTATAGCGAGTACAACCCAGTTAGGGTTTGCTATATGTACCCCAACTGCTGCTAGTGAAACCCCTCTCTCCTTTCAATCATTCTTGCCTAGTTCTGTTGACAACGAGCACCTAGGGCTGCAGCCTCACCAGGACCTGTGGGAGCAGACGCACTAGCACCTAGAGCGGCAGCCGGACTGGCCTGAATGCCCGGGTCGGGCGGAACACGCAAGTACTGAGCACCCTCTCCACTAATAGACATCGCATACATGGCAGTGAGAATAGCATCAAAGTCTAAAGCCCAAATATCAACACCCCTCTTTTCCAGATCAGCCCAGCGCGGCAGCTCAGTGGCAGCAGGAAACTGAGTGCGCCACGCGTCGTTAAGGCGCGCGAAGCAGCGCTGCGTGGGGTGCGGCCTCCCACACTGCTGGCCGCTGCGGTCACCTGTGCGAATGACGTACGTGCAGGTAAAGCTACACTGCGCATACCACTCACGGGCGGCCTGAAGCGTCGGGGCGGGCTGCTGACTCTGCCCTCCGCCAGTGCCTCCACGACCACCACCCCCACCGCCGCCGCCCCGGCCACCTCCACCCCTGCCGCCGCCACGACCACCTCCGCCTCCGCTGCCGCCTCCACCACCACTCCCACCGCTGCTGTCTCCTCCCCCACTGCCGCCACTAGTCTCCCCAGCCGCGCCTCCACTCCCACCGCCTCCACCCCCACCTCCTCCGCCGCCACCCCCACCCCTGCCCCCCTTGTTCCTGCGGCGCCCGCTCGAAGCAGACGCGGTCCCGACCTTCTCAGCACCAAGAAGGTCGACAGCAGCAGCAGAGGCGACAGAGGGGAGGAGGGGGGAAGGGGAACACCCCTCAAAGAACGGGGTGCGGGGGTCGCCACGAGAGGTGCCTACAGCGACGATGCTCGCCTCAGCTGCAAGCAGTTCCTTCTCGAGGAGGGCAACAGTGAGCTCAGTGGGGGAGCGAGAGAGGAAGTGGTCCCTGACTGCGCGCAGAGAGTCAGGGAGGCGGGTGACGATGTGGTAGAGAGTGATCCAGAGCGGGGGGGGGTTGCTAGTGAGAAACTCGGCAGGCATAGCAGCGCGAAAGCGGGCCTCACTAGTCTTAAGGTGGGTGATGAGGTCTGCGACAGTGTGAAAGGAGGCTAGGTCGGGGAACAGGTAGGGGAGAGTGAGGCGGCCTAGCGTGGCAGAAGCGGGTGAGGAGTAGCGGGCAACTACAGCGGTGTAAAGGTCCTTAGCAGTCTTGCACTGGCCGAAGTGCTCGCGCTCGTCTAGCGGCAGGGAGTTGCGTATAGCAAAGCGAGCGTGCGCATCACGGGTCTGCCACTGGGAACGCAGAGTGCTGTCAGCAGACGAGTCAGGGGCAGTGGCATGGCCTAGGGCGTGGTCGTACAGTGAGATATCTTCCTTGGCAGTGAGCTGTAGGAACAGGTGCAGGTCATCGAGCCAGGTTTCGAACTTCACTGGACGGCCCTCGGCATCGAAAGCTAGAACGGGAGGACTAGCCATAGTGACAGTAGCAGTAGTAGTAGTAGCAGTAGTAACAGGAAGTGTGGCAGCAGGAGCTGCAACGGCGCACTGGTGGCAGCTGCAGTGGTAGCAGTGTGCGCGGTAGGTAGAAAATAAACAGCAGTGAGATCGAGTGCCTCGCGGGCGGCGGCTGCAGAAGCGCACGGGCGGCAGCGGCGCACGGGGAACGGCAGTGCACGGGCAGCGGCGGCGCACGGGCAGCGGTGGCGCTCGGGAGGCAGCGGTGCGCAAGCAGCAGCGGAAGCAGCGGCGTACAAGCGGTTGCGGGCAGCGGGGCGTGTGCGAGCAGGCGACGGGCGGCTGCGGGCGGGCGGCCGCTGCGACGGCGGGCTGCGGGCCTGCGGGGCGTGCGCGAGCAGGCGACGGGCGGCTGCGGGGCGTGCGCGAGCAGGCGACGGGCGGCTGCGGGGCGTGTGCGAGCAGGCGACGGGCGGCTGCGGGGCGTGCGCGAGCAGGCGACGGGCGGCTGCGGGCGGGCGGCCGCTGCGACGGCGGGCTGCGGGCCTGCGGGGCGTGCGCGAGCAGGCAACGGGCGGCTGCGGGGCGTGCGCCAGCAGACGACGGGCGGCTGCGGGGCGTGCGCGAGCAGGCGACGGGCGGCTGCGGGGCGTGCGCGAGCAGGCAACGGGCCGCGTGCGTAACTAGCGGGCCGCGCGCGTAAGAAACAAAGCCGCGCGCGCGAAAAAAAAAAAGGACCCGCGCGCGAGTAGCTAGCGGATCGTGCGCGCGCGGTAGGGAAATGCGCTCGAGGGCGCGAGGCCTTAAGGGGCCGTAAGAACCGAGGCGCTCTAAGGCGCAGGTAGGTAGGTAGGTAGGTATATAGTGGTGGGCCCTAAGAACGGTCCTAGCGAAGGACCTGCTCTGAAACCATGTCAGTGATAACGGACTGGAATGATGGACTAGCAAGGATTGTGAGTACAAATATGAAACCCTAATGTTGTGACCCCCCTATAGGCTAACCCACTACAGCCTACACAAATACAACATGTATAATGTTTGACAATTTTCCCCATTCATTTTTCCCCATTTATTATCTAGCATTAGATGATAGTGCTGGACAAGACGGTAGTTTGATGGATCCTCTTTAGGACTGTTGTGCTGTCACGCTCACAAGCTGAGTATGCATTCAGCATGCTACATGTACTGTTTCATACATACCGGTAGTACACAACAATGAACCATGGTGCACCCTCTGCACGCACTGGAAGTGCACAGGAACACAGCTCATACCCGGTCGGTGCGGTGCGGTGCGGTGTGCCATTGGAATCACTGGGTGCCCGTGATGGGACCTGCAGTGATACTTGCCAACACCCACCTCACTGGCAGCTGCACCGCAGCAACCCTTCAATGACACACACGCACGCCGAATTGTGTACAACGTTTTTATCTGCCACAACAGGGAACCTGATTGCTCCGTTCTTTGCAGGTGGGGGTCGGCAAATGGCAGAGCTGCTATTCATCCCAGTCGGTGTTGAAATCATCGCCCCCATCATCACCATCATCCTGAGCGCCCTCACACTCCCCATACACATCCTCTGATGCCCTCTCCTCCACCACCACTCTATGCCACCTCCCTTCTCGCACTGCCACCTGCTCCTTCCCCCTCACACTTCCCACACCACCTGCTCGCTGCCCCCCTTCCCCATCACGCTCCCCACTGCCTTCCCCACTGTGCCTCACTGCTTGCCACGGTTGCTCTCCACCTGTTTGCTGCACTCGACATGCACTGCCCTCTGCCTCCTCTCTGCTACCCAATACACCCATCTGCCCTTGTGACTGTTCTGTCGCTCCTCCTCCAGCGCCTGCACCTCCTCTCCCAGTCTCCCACCCATTTAAACTTCTTGTCCCCCTTGATTGCCCCTCTCGCTCTGCTGCCTGTTGCTCTCCTCCCCCACCAGCAGGAGCAGCAGTAGCAGCAGGTTGGGGGTGGGCGAAGGAGAAGAGGCGGACAGCAAAGGCAAAGGCACGGTCGAACAGGAAGGGGCGAGCAGCCTCTGCTAGCGCGGACAGGTGGGCCACCAGTGGGGGGCGCGCAGTGGCAGTGAGTGGAGGGCGTGCAACGTGGGGGCGGCGGGCAGTGAGACGTGACTGCACGGCAGATTTGGCGCGCCACACACTCCTCGTGGTGCTCATGGGACCGTGCCTTGACGCGTGATGGGCCGACGCCCTGCCACGGCTCGTACATGCTGCTGAAGTGGCATGTGCTAATGAGGTGGCAGGGAGCGGTGGTGGTGGAGGGTGGGTGGCGGGCGGGTGGAGGAAGACTGCGAGCAGATGGTCCACCACCATGCTCACGTCCTGCTCCTGCATGCATGCATGCACCCATGCATACATGCATACATGCATCCATGCATGCATGCATAAATGCATCCATGCACACATGCACGCACACATGCACACATGCACTCACACGCATGCACATATGCACTCACACATGCATGCACACACGCATTCACACAGCATGCACACATGCACACATGCCTACATGCACACTTCCACACACGCACTCATACATGCATGCACTCACACATGCACTCACACATGCACTCACACATGCATGCTCACATGCACACATGCATGCAAATATGAATGCACACAGATGTTGGTAGATGGAAGGAAACAGGGGTATTCGGGCATGGATGGCATGGGGGCATGGATGGCATGGGGGCAAGGATGGCATGGGGGCATGGAGAACATCTATTCCCGGCTGAGCCTGGACACTGAGAAGCCACTCATTCATTCCAACACAGAAACCACCCACCCACCCACCATCCACTCACCCACCCACCCCCCACCCATCCACCCACCCACGACCCATGCATGAACACGAGGACGGACCTTCATGAGCGCCTGCAGCTCCACGGTCATCCACGCGCGCACCACACTCTCCGTCGCCGCACTCTCCGCCACCCGCTGCCGCCCCCGCTGCTGCCACCCGCCCTTGGTCACAGCGCCTGCCCTCCCTCTCATGCTCTTCGCTCCCGGTGCTGCTGGCAGTGGTGGTGGCGCTGGAGCAGGCGATGATGGCGCGGGTGTCACTACTGTAAGCGCGCTGGTGTAGAGGCGCCTGCGCTTGCAATGCTCCTGAGACGGCATGAACGTGCTAGGAGAGCGATGGAGGGAGGGAGGAGCTGGAAGTTACGTAAGAACAAAGGAGAGGCGAAGCATGCGGAGGGTGGGGAATCCAGGGAGAAGTTACCACAATAAGAACGAGCAGACGACACCAACGTCTCTGATTAACCCTTAATAGACAAAAAAAAAAAAAAAAAAGAACCACACGGGAGGAAACAAATGCACTAGAATATGCTATACCTGATGATCCTACCACCGCTTCTTCCACGGCTGCCCTCAGCATGGCTCCCTGCAGCAGCCTCAGCCACAGCTTCGGTGGCCCCTTGTGCAGCAGCAGAGGGCGGGATGGGCAGCTGGTCAAAGTCAGCAGCGGCAAGATCAACGTGATGGATGATGGAGCGCGGAGAGGCCTGGGGGATGATGCGCGCAGGCGATGGGCGTGAGGGGTGCAGCAACAGTGAGTGGCGTGATTGATTCGACAGGCAGGTTCAGCAACAGAAGGCATCTTGAAGTGATTGTTCCGCGCAAGCTACTGCGCTTGTACCACCTCTTGCGCTTCACAGTCCATTGAAATACCTCGCTTTCCTCACTCTACTCTAACTCGCTCTATCTCGCTCTATCTCGCTCTATCTCGCTCTATCTCGCTCTATCTCGCTCTATCTCGCTCTAACTTGCTCCATCTCGCTCTATCTCGCTCTATCTCGCTCTATCTCGCTCTATCTCGCTCTATCTCGCTCTATCTTGCTCCATCTCGCTCCATCTCGCTCCATCTCGCTCCATCTCGCTCCATCTCGCTCCATCTCGCTCCATCTCGCTCCATCTCGCTCCATCTCGCTCCACCTCGCTCCATCTCCCTCCATCTCGCTCTATCTCGCTCTATCTCGCTCTATCTCGCTCTATCTCGCTCTATCTCGCTCTATCTCGCTCTATCTCGCTCTATCTCGCTCTATCTCGCTCTATCTCGCTCTATCTCGCTCTATCTCGCTCTATCTCGCTCTATCTCGCTCTATCTCGCTCTATCTCGCTCTATCTCGCTCTATCTCGCTCTATCTCGCTCTATCTCGCTCTATCTCGCTCTATCTCGCTCTAACTCGCTCTGCCTACCTTGCAAACGGGGCACACAGCAGGCCTCCTGGGCTGCTGTTGACTGCTGACATCAGCATGTGAAGATGCGTCTCGTCCAGCTTCACCAACGTCAGCATCTGCTGCGAGATGAGCAGACGAGTCCAACCCCGATGACGTGGCAACAAGAGCATCGGTCAACGCAACATCGGACGGTTGCTGCTGCTGCTGTTGCTCTTGCTGGCGTAAATGCGGAGGAACGATGGGGCAGCGGATGCACGACTCGAGCCATCGCACGATGCAGGCGAAGCAGAAGCTGTCTGGCAGTAACCGAGGCTCGACGACGTTCGTCGACGCCGGTCACATCGTTGAAGTTTGTGGAGAATCGAATCCGACCGTGAAACATCCCGTCGGTTTCACCCGCGAAACGGGGAAGCGGCAAGAGAAGGGAGGAGGAGGAGAAGGATGGGAAACGGGAAAGCCGGTCAGAACTCGCAAATAAGTGTCAGAACAAAATCCTTAGCAAAGCAGCATCCGACGGTGGTACCTACGGAATGACTGCTGTTTTGAGAAGGGCTATGGCACCTACGGAAGCAAGGCTCGAGAAACGCCTCGTCGTGAGTTTCGTCAAGGCAGATCGGACAGACAGACGCCGCGACGGCCATGCATGCGGAAGTGGATTGACGATAACAAGTCGTTATGGCTGCACAGGATCGTTGAAATGAAGCTGTCTTACCCAAGCGCTTCGCCACCGAAAACTAGGCATGTCGGCTGGACGCGGTATGTGTAGCACAGTGAAGTGGTAGACTTAGGAAATTCGACAGCTCAGTTCGGTTTACACCTAGCCCGCGGTAAATTCACCGAGCGGACGTTTTTCTTCCAGGCACCCCTTGTGCGTTTCCGGGTAATGAGAAGAGCACCCAGAGACTCCGAGGCTAGCAGTAAAAGGGTAGGAAGCATTTCAGTCTAAGAAACTGGCACTTAGTGACCCGAGATAGGAAGGGATTGGCATTTACAAATTTTCTACTCTCCATCATCTGGCGAAGGGAATGCGTGATTCTACCCTCTCCGAATCCGAAACTACCTTCATAAACTAACTTAACCGCGGGAAAGTATACCCGGCTGGTGAAGATACCGCCGGTGAATTTACCGCGGACTAGGTGTATAAGATTTGCCTTGTGGCACTATACAGGGTGTGAGATTCTCCGACGTTAACTGTAGTTACTCAAAAACCAGTACAGCACTAGTAGTGTAATGAATGTACAATTCAGTACTGTAGAGGCTCTCCGCCCTATTTTTTGCCCTAACCAATGCTCACCGCAAGCTCCGCCATCCGGCGGCCATGGATACTACCGACATTGACCAAGTCAACATTCTCGCTTCAATGCTCATCGCATACGTCTGTTGCTGTTAACCATAACGCCTTAAATTTCAACAAGGGATTACCGGTCATTTTTGCTGACCTTGGTTTCTCCAGTTTAAAGGTTGTTCTGCACAACGTTCGTCGGGCATTCCCGAGGCTGCGTTCAACTCTGGTTCCCGACCATGGTGTACATCATTATACATCTTCCTACGTCTCTTCGGCTATTATCAAACAGTTTAAGCATGGAAGTTTCAAGGTTCACACCTCGGGAACGCATCACTTGCAACAAGAAATTCTGGAGCCTGACAAGTCCTGGATACTACATAATGAAGTGCTCAGTCTGCAGAGTTATTGTCATTCATCACTCAGAAAGCGTGCTCAGCACGCTGCTTCTCTGATCAGTTCTCATCATCGCACAATGTCGCATCCAGCGGACGTTGCAGTACTCCCTAAGGGTCAGCGCTCCAAGTCTGCTTCTGATCCTCCTGTTCCGCCTGCGGATGGTCAGCACACGGATAGTCATGGTGTTAACGTCAGTAACAATGCTCCTCACAAGAACGGCCTTAACAACACAACGGTCAATGCTGGAATATCAGGGGATGGCGGCTCCAACTCTACCAACAATGCCACAAGGGAACGGGTGGCTGCCTCTCTTACTGATGCAGATGGCTTCATCGACGATGACTCAGATGACGAAATGTTGATCGATGATAAAGAGGCTGGCTTCAGGCTCCGCTCCGTCGCCATTTCGCTCATTCCGTTTATGCTTGAGAAGGAAATCGCCTGTGTGATTGAAGCTGTCAAAGCACTAATCAAACATGGATGGTACACAGATTTATCAGAGGGAGCCGCGACGACGACGAAGTTTCAGGAGCTGCAGACGGCTTATATTGCCAAAACTGGTTATTGTCGCCTGCAAGGATCATTTGCACGGGAGGAAGATGTAGCATGGGTACAAACCAAAGAAGTCATCTACCAGCCTCTCAAGAATCAGAGTCAACTCATCACGCTCCACTGGCTGCACACTGAAGAAGGCCATGTACCCTCAGGCCATTGAAGTGGTCATTAAGGGTGTTTCAGCGGTTGTGGAGCTCCAAATGATCTATGACCGGCTGGTGACTTACCTGCTTAAGAGCAGTGGTTTATCGGCCTTCGTAAAGTGTTCCTGCCTGCACTGAGCGCTGCATCCAGTTACTGATGCTGATACGGATGTGGTGAAGTGCCTGGTATACGCTCACCCCTGCAACAGGAACCGGCGCTGGCTTCACGCGGTAGCTGATCCTGCTGATCACGCGAGGAAGCTTCTTCTCCATTACCCAGCCTTGTCCCGCACGCTCTGTGGTGGCAAACACTATGATAAGTATCTTGATGTTTTCCGCACTGAGCGTCAGAATAACGTTAGTAAATGGAATCTGACACTAGGGAAGGTGCATCGGCTTAACGGTTACCGCATCACTCAGCTTAACCGACGGCTTCTGCTTTTAATCCCTAACACACTCACTAACCTGTCTCTTGATCCTCGTAGCCGCGTCGCTGAAAGCTTCATCGCTGTTTCTTCCGATTCTTCGCGATCCTGCTATTGCGCTCATCTCCACTGGGAGCAGCAGGGAGGACTGGATATGCACTCAGACTGGCTGCGGAAAGGCAAAGGGAAAGAGCTTCATGGCGGCTGCAGATCACATCTCAACGGCCACTCGCCTACAGCAGCTTTTGAAGCCGGGTGCAGCAACGAAGGAGTCCCTGGACAAAATGAACCTCACCGCCATCCGCAAGGAGTACGGACTGTAACTGACCTTGACCGTCATCTGCGCGTAGCCACCTGTTGGAGTCTTGGAGTTAGCTTTACCTGTGTAGTTGCTTTTATCAGCCTGTGGATGACAAGGGGCTGCAAGGCAGTGGATCCATGATTAAAAAAAACCACCTCTCCATCGCGAGCCCTAAACGTCAACGGTTAAGTGTTAGAAACTACAGGCAGGAATGAATGCATTGAAAGAGAGTTGGGTACAAGTATCAAACCCTAGAGGGGTTGTACCCCATATTGGCTACCTCACTACAACCTACACAAATACAACATATAATTTGACACACCCCCATAGGCAAAGTGGGGGAGAGCAAGGGGTCACAAGACCAGTCAAGAAAAGCAAAGCAAGCTCAGGGTGGATCACAACGTCACCACACACTGAGCACAAGCAAAGGGCCACAAGGCCAGTTCACATGCAGAGGTATATATGCAACAAGCACAGTACAGTGATCACTACCTAGCAAGAGCAAGCATGCAGGTATATGTATATAGATCACAGTACAAGCAAAGCCTACAGCAAGTGTGGAAACGTAGGTACAAGGCCTAACAAGGTACAGAAACGCTGATGATCACCAGACGGAAGTGCCTTGGTGAATATATCAGCGGTGTTGGCCCGCGTGGCCACGTAAGCAAGACGAAGCTGACCTCGCTGCTGCAACTCTCGAGCCAGGAAGTAACGCAGAGCGATGTGCTTCGTTCTGTGCTCCAGTCTGTGCTCTTGACACAAGGCAATGGCGGCCTTGTTGTCGACGTACAGAGGTGGAGGAGAACGAGGCCGCTCTCCCAGGTCGGTCAGCAGGTAAGTGAGCCAGCGCAACTCCTGAGCAGCCATGGCGGTGGCGTAGATCTCAGCCTCACAACTGGAGCTGAGAACAGAAGACGAGCGAGTAGAACGCCAAGAAACAGAACCGGAGCCAAGGCTGAAAGTGTAACCCTGTGACGACCACTGCGTAGCCTGGTCGTCAACCCAAGAAGCGTCTGAGTGCCCAGTGAGGACCACGTCTCTCCGCCCTCCAAGCACGAGCCCCATGCCCGATGTACTGCACAAGTAGCGCAGTACCCTCTTCGCAGCATCCCAGTGCACCTTTCGGTGTCGACCAGGAGCCACGTAGCGTGCCAGAAGGCCAAGAGGGTACGCAAGGTCAGGACGAGTGCAGGTCATCAGGTACATGAGGCAGCCCACTAACTCTGGGTAAGGACCACTCGGCTCTACGGACTCTTCCGAAGGTGGAGCTGAGAGCGAGTGACCTGTAGCCAGAGGAGTGGACTGTGGCGAGGACCAGGTGAAGCCGAAGCGCTGAAGGACCTACTGCACCATGTGTGACTGAGTCAGAGTGATGGTGCGGCGTGCTCTGTCCCGGGTGATCTGCAAGCCAAGGTAGCTGCGCAGCTCACCCAGGTCTGTGCACGTGTGTCTCTTCTGCAGCTCCGACTTCACCAGGGCGAGAGCCTCAGTGTCAGCAGTGGCAAAGACCAAGTCGTCGACGTACACGAGGATGTAGAACGGCGGCAGCGAAGTGTCGGTGCGCAGAAACAACGACGGGTCAACAGTCGAAGGAGCAAACCCAAGAGCCGCAAGTGTAGTCCTCAATGTGTCGTGCCACTCACGAGGCGCCTGGCGGAGACCGTAGACTGGCCGCCGGAGGCTCCACTGGGTACCAGGCGGGAACGACCCAGTGAAGCCAGGTTGGCGGCGCAGCCAGATCTCCTCGTGCAGGCTGCCCTGTAAGAAGGCTGTGCTGAAGTCCAGTGAGTGAAGCTCGTAGTCACGCTGAGCGGCAATGTGCAGCAGCACCCGAAGAGTGGTCATCTTCGGGGTGGGGGAGAAGGTCTGGAAGAAGTCAAATCCCTCTCGCTGACTGAAGCCTCGAGCAACGTAACGAGCCTTGAAGACAGGCGGAGAACCCGACGGCCGCTTCACCCTGAAAATCCACATGCCATCGACGATGTTCGCCCCAGGAGGGGGAACCTCATCGACGTAAGTGCCTGTGGACTTCCAGGATGCCATCTCTGCGTCCATGGCTGTCTGC